GGCGGGTTGGTGAAGGTTGGCTGCCGGCAGGCTGCACTGCACGATGTCAGCAGCCCTTGATCTTTTTGTTTCAGTGGTGTCAACCCAGTACCAGGGATTCTCCAAACTCTGAAGAACTACAGGCATGGGGTAAACGGGCCGTGCGAAGGAAAGGATCAGCAGTTTTATCTGATAATTGTCACGCTTCCTCTTGCTAACAAACCACGTGACAATTGACTTCAGAGGTTGGCTTGAGCCCTGTACTGTGAAAAGTACCATCTTGCAGTTGTAGGTAAAAGGAAGGAGTAAGCTTTTGATTCCAGATGAATTCTGCTCATCTGAGCTGACTGAGAGCTTTTCTGTGCTCAGAATGAACGGGCTGCTGTCTGTCTGAGCCTGTTTGCTGTCTTCGTCACGATGGCAGCTGGTAACGAGCTTAACACGGGCAAAGTACAAGTGAGAGGAAAAGTCCCTAGACCCATTGGACCCATCTGTGCCTCTCACTTTCTCCTTGTGAGGAAGATGATGTTGCTGGGACAATATGATAAAGCAATGGGGGTATTTTCTTGGCTCTTAGAGTTTGGCTTGGTGCAGTTTGGGGCCTGACTCCCTTCTCTGGGACTGAATCTGCCGTTGGGTGGGTCATCACTAATAACCACGTTTACGTGGCATTGAACGGAGTTCACTGGGTTCACCCTGCTCCGGATGAACTTGGAACTCTCCGGCTGTATACAGCTGGCGCTGAGGGCAGGCCGTGAGCAGCGATGCGTGGGGAGGCCGGCCTCAAGTAGTGCTCGTGTTCTCAGGAGCATTATTTATACTCCAAACCTTATCCTCAAAGGTCATGGCTTGGATAGCGTTTCCAGGTTCCTCGCGACACTGGTCTTCTGGGAAGCTCTTGGCTTCCAGCTCACTGGGAGTCTGTGCGTTGCGTCATACCGGTGCAACTTCTTAGGTGTAAGGTTCTGAGTAACTGTGTGCTGGAGGGAAGCTCCGTGCCAAAACCGTTTCCAGTTAAAGGGAGAAAAAGAAAGATTTCAGCATCTCAGTTATTCTTGCCTGGAAAAAAAGGGGTGAATTTTACTAGAGGCTGAGTAGGTGTTTCTCCAGCTGATTTGCATAGGTTTGTTACCTGTGTTTGGTTGCTGGAAGTGGATGCATCTGGAATGACAGAGAAAATTCCTGCACTGATTGGGTATTGGTGCTGTCGGTACGAATACTTCACCAGAAATCGCGCCCTGCACGAGGTGGGAGTTGCCACTGGGATTAGAGTTCATTGTAGGGATGATAAAATCCCTTTTTCAAGAGGGAGGGGGTGGTTTGTAGCAGTGGTTTAAATTAAAATGTTTTAAAAAACAGATTAAAAGCAAACATTGAGAAGCTTTTTACAATTTTATTGAACTTTAGGCACAAAAAGTTTAGCTTACCAAGCTGCTCGGACAATAAGCCACTGTTGCATAATTCAAACTTTTAAGAACCGATCTTGAGTTATGCATCCAGTTAAAAAATTCCTATGTTACGGTAGCACAATTGTTTCTGTCTCTTTCCGGGAGCTCTCGGGCACTCCTGCGGAGGAATGACCAGTACAAGCAGTGCTGTGTCTGCCCGTGTTCTTGTGATATTTTCTGTTGTAGACAGGATGAAGAGGCTCCTGGTAAGGATGCTGTGAAAGCGATCAGCTGATACTTCAGCGGCCTTTTTAAGGGCAGGCCCAGGAGGGAAAACCAGGCCCAGTGAGGTTTGCACAGTGCTCCTTTGGTGTAGCTGTCCTGTGAGCGCTGCTGGGTAATGCTGTCCCAAGGGTGTCAGCATCAGTGCCAAAACAAGAGCTGATTTCCATCCCTGCTCAGGTACCTCTGAGCGTTGAACAGTGCGTGGGGTGGTAACTGGAAGCTTTGTCTTCCTCTCAGAGATCTCTGCTGTGTTGCTTATGGTTGTGTTTCCTAGTTAAGACTTCTCTGAAAATTTTAATTTCTCTGGTAGAGGTGCACTGTGTTTTTTGGAGATGTTCAAGACTACGCTGGACATGGCAACCTGATCTAATGAATCTGCTCCGACTAGATTAGCAGCAGTCTCTCTCCCAGTATAAATGACTCTGTAATTCTGTCATTAATGCAGGAATTAATAAATCACGTGTTCTGTTTGGCTTCTGCAGAAACAGAACACATGCTTTATAACAAGCTCAGGACCCTCACCTAGGAGTAATCGCTGCTCATACGTAGATTTTTCTGCCGTAAAACTGTAAGCCAAACTGACTTTTGCATGCTCACACCTGTCCCCCTGTTGTTTGTCCCTGTTTGTCTCAGCCCCTTCTGTCAAAGAGCTTGGATCCACTGCAAAATGATCCCTCTTCACTGACAGTGAAAGCAAAATATATACAAATTTTGTAGCAGTTTTGGGCAGAGAGAGAAGCTTTTGCGCAGGGTAAGTTTATATAGGTGCAGAACTTCGCTTTAAAACCAGATTATCAGTGCAGACTCTCTCCTCTTCCCGTAGAAAGGACCGTAGACGATAATACCTACCATCGTAAAAAGCCATTGTGTGCCATTCTTAGAAGCTGCAGTCCATTTCCTGAAAAAACCCTTCCCTGAGCAGTTACAACGTTCACCTTGTGCTGGGCTAGAGCTACACGACAGAAAAATAGCCAGTGAAATCTGAGCTATCTTTAGAGAACAGGGTTGATTCTTCCTTATTCTTTCTCCCCTTGCTGAAAGTGATCTTGCTAAGCTGGGCGAGGTGGAGCAGTCGTGTTTGTTACTGATGCCGTTGTGCTTTGGAATTAAAATTGCTGAGTCATCTCGGACACATACAGGTTTCGGTTAATTCCTACACGAGGAGCATTGGGCAGAGGAAGGCAGCCAGTGCATCTCCTGCCAGAAGCACACGGAAGAAGAAACAGACCCGCAGTGATGAAGCTTTGGAATCTAAGAGGTTTCAGGGGGGTGAAAGTGTTCTAGTAAACTTGCATGCTCTGTTGATGCTGAGTGTACTTTTGGAATATGCATCTGATTTCTGAGTGTCTGAGTCATGCCACGTAAATGGTTTGAGGTCCTAGATGTTTGCTGCCTAACCTTCTGAAAGTGTATTTTGTTAGAGGACTGACGTTTTGTCCAGGAATAGACTGTTTTTAGTGCTGTTGATACTCTTCCCTTCGCTGAAGTGCTCCGTCCTTCCTGTCTTGGGCTGAGGCCTCTCTCACAGCTCTGCCTTGCGCTTCAGAATGGTGCTGTGTCCCTTCTGAACCCGGGGGCTGCAGTTCTGCAACCCTGCCTACCTGGGGCTGCCTTCAACACCGTCAGTGTGTCAGTAGGTCAAGAATTCACCCACGTCGCCGGGTCCCTGCCACCCGAGCGCTGGGCAGAATGAGACCTCGCCTGCGTTTTCCGCCTCTCTTTCTGCAGAATGAGCTACCCGTCCCGTTGTGTGACACGGTGAGGACATCAGACCCCTGTCCCCCAGGTCCACCGCCGTTTTCGTAGCCGGTGGGTCTTGCTGCGGCCTTGGCGGCAGAGTGAAGTGCTGCAGGCCTCCAGCAACCGACAGGACGCTGCGATAGAGCGGGGTTTTGCTTCTAGAATTTTCTTGCGGTGTGATGTATCCTGATAGCCTCAGCTCACTGCTCTGAGCAGATTGCTAGGTCTGGCTGATTAATGGGGTGTTATTCCCTCCTGCAGTCCAGCATTGCCTGGGTCCGTGAAGGGATAAGATCAGCGAGGCAAATAAGGACATTATATTCGTTTGGATTCCGCTGTCCCGCGATCACGTTGCCCGCTGATGGAATGCCTCTCCCTGAAGAGGGCTGTGTGTCTCTGCCGTATGCTGCGCACCAAACAATACTCTTTGGTGCTCCGCTACAGCTTCCTTCTGTGTTATTTTGAAAGCTGACAAAGCGATTCTTGTATTTGAATGTTGAGAAGTGTGTCAGCTTTCACTCGCCGGGAAAGGTTTGAGAGGTGCAGAGGCACCATTCTTGCTTGAGGCAGCAAAATACTTTGGTATAAAACTGTAGTAAGCTGCTGTTGTCTTAAATTTGGAGAAATTAAAGTATTTATCTTTGACCTCCAGTAACGCTGAGTTATTTTGACAAGTCTTGATGCTGGTAGAGCTTAACAGATTGCTAAAATCCCACTGTAAGGAGGAAGAAGTGGCAGTGCTTACTTTGGACAAGCAGGATGCAATGAAACCTCCTCAGACCGTTGCGGCGGAACGTTTCCTTCGGTAAAGCACCGTAACCCAGCACAGATCCCGCTCTCCTTTGGACAGTTGGATTTAATGCCTTGGCTACAGAAAGCTGGGACCAAAGCAGATGCCCCATCCCAGCAAAACCTTTCTGGCTGCCTCCGTGTGTACTCCCTTCCGGGCAAATACATGTACATCTTTATTCTGGGGGGAAAGCAGTGTTTTGTATGTGAGCACGTGAGACGCTTCGATCCTTGTAAGAACTGCAAGTAAATCCCAGAGGTCTGATTTAAATGAAAACTGGTGTTTCTGGACGTTAAACTTCAGAAAATGCTTTATTTAGGTTTCAAGGGTGACCTTGTTGGACTGTCGGCTCTTTTTACGGCCTCTTTGTTAGTGCATGGCAAGAGGAGACAGCTGGGCAACCTCGAGTGGTCGGAGTGTTTTGTTTACATGGGATGGCACGAGACCCCTTCCTGGACAGGGAAAAGGTGGTAGCTGATGGCTGTTGCTCTCTCTCTGGAGCTGAAAGGAAGGAGTCTGTCTGCCTGCGACACCGAGCACATTACACTTCTTCCCTGTTGGAAAATTATCTGTGGAAGTTGGAAACTACATGCTGAAAGATGCAGGGTTGGGGGCGGGTGGCGTTACTGTTCCTAGCAGGGCCAAGCGGCCCCGTCCCGTGTGAGGGAGAGCAAATTGTTTTCAAGCTCTGTCAAATGATCCCAGGCCTGTGGCTGGGCTCCAGCTGGGCTCCAGCCTCTCCTCAGCAGCTTTTAATGATTAACTCAAATATTTTTATAGTATCTTGAGATTTTAACCTCTGGTTTATTTTCTTTCTGCAGTTGGAAGAGTCTGGGGCCTTTTTTCCTCTGCCCAGCGTTGCAGTTCGGATAGCCTCCCATTTCAAACATCTCCTCGCTTCCGCCTGCCAACCTGTCTGATATGTCGGGACCCGTGCCGAGCAGGGCCAGAGTTTACACGGATGTGAACACACACAGACCCCGCGAGTACTGGGACTATGAGTCGCACGTTGTCGAGTGGGGGTGAGTCTCTGGGCTGCTCACGGGGACTGATCCCGGTAGGATCCGGCAGGGAGGTGCATGGGGGGGTTCAGGCGCCTGTGCTGCGTTAGGCTTTTTCACGCTCTGTGGCGGGTGACTGGTGTGCACGGCAAACATTAGGATCACAACTTTTCTTCGGAAAAAGTGTTTCTTGTCAAAATTTTAAATCCCCAGCAGTGCAAGAACGTTTTTAGCAGCCCCCTTAAGGGTTTGTCTTGAAGAATTTTTGCCAGGTAGTCAGGAAACTCGCCCTTTCAGAGGGCAGAATATCTTTGAAACAGCCTAACCAGCCCTGGGCGCGGGGCTGAAGAGAAGTGAAACGACATCTGATGTTGCTGCTGACTTGGATGAGTGAAGACGCTCGGCAGACTTAAATAGGTACATGCTATTTTGTGACTTGTTGCTCAGCTCTCTGCGAGTGACTGGAAAAGACATGTCTGCTGCTTTTTGAAGGAAGGAGGTGTCTAAATTGAGCTCATGACTAAACCATCCAAGAAGCAGACAGCAGAGATGCCAGCTTCGCAGCCCTGTGTGGCTTCTGTACGGCAGGGCCCAGGCTAAGCCCTGCCCTCAGCTTTGTCGCAGTTCCTGGTTCTGAAACGTACAGTCTGCTGAGCACAAGCAGTGGTTTGTGCCTCGTCTGTAGCGCTTAGATTTTTGGTCTTACTGGCTTTGTTGACATCATAGAAGGAAAAAATGTAGCTTCCAAATATATAGAGACTGGTGGAAGGGTGAACTCTGCTGATGCCGAAATATGTGGTTGGGCTTATGTTAGACACTGCAGAAGAAATAAGTTCTTGGGCGAGTAGAAGCTCCCATGTTTATAGTCACGTTTGGGAGATGAAGACACCAGTTAATCTGCTTCCTCCGGAAGGTGAGGCAGTGATGTAGTGTAAGGGAGCAGTTTGTAAATCGGGATGGAAACGACTGAGCTCTTTGGAACTCTTTAACTTTTTATCTCCACAGAAATCAAGATGACTACCAGCTAGTTCGAAAATTAGGCCGAGGCAAATACAGTGAAGTATTTGAAGCCATCAACATTACAAATAATGAAAAAGTAGTTGTTAAAATTCTCAAGGTGAGCTGGGGATTGGGCAAAAGATAAAATCTGTCCTGAGGTGATCAGGAGGCCAGAAAGTGCAGCGTTTGGTCTGCAGTGTTCGATGTTCTAAAACGGAAATCCTTAAAGCCTGGCTTTGCGGTGTCGCTCGGTGAAACGGGCTGTCATCTTGGTCCCCCTAATAGAAGCCCTCTGCTTGGTAATTGAGTCAGATCTCTGCCCCTGAGGAATTAGCCCCTATCTTAAAGAAGTCCCGGGGCACACCACTTTTGTACTTGGAGCTAAAGAACGCTTCAGCAGCTGACTAAGAAAGTTCTCGCCTCCTCTGACTACGGTGCCCTGGCCCGCTGTCGTGTGTGTAGAGGCCGTGAGCTGGTGGGATCGTTGGTCTTTAAAACGTGTGGACTGCTGACGTTAAGGTTTGAATTTCTGCTCTGCACGTTCCATTCCAGATGCAATATCCTGCCAGACTGAGTAAGGGTCTCCTGGATGCTGGTTATCCCATAGGCTTGGTTGGTGAAACACCTTCATTTAGTGGCCCTCAGATCATGGGCTTCTCAGTTAAACATTTACCACGTGCCAGTTAAGAAGTTTTGGACTATCAGATCATGTTCCAACAGCTTTAAAAAGAATATGCCATCTTCCTGACCCTCCCTCACATAGAACTGTAGGTGGCAGGATTAGAAAGGAGACTGCAGGTGTTTGAGCTCTGACTGGAATGGTGCAGTTGGGTCACAAGAAAATCGAGCTGTTTGAACTCCCTTGCGAAGGCTCCAGGGTGTTTTGCTGAGTGGCACTTCCCTACCTCTGTCCTCTGGACGGTAGGCTGGCTGTTAGCCTCACTTTACCCAGACGCTTTGTCTTACGCTTCGGGTTTTTATTCTTCAGCCCGTGAAAAAGAAGAAAATCAAGCGTGAAATCAAGATCTTGGAGAACTTGCGAGGCGGCCCCAATATCATCACGCTGGCAGATATAGTGAAGGATCCTGTGGTGAGTACGGGAGGAGCCTCCAGGGTCCGCTGGGGTTGTGGGTGAAGTTGGTGTCGTTGACTTCAGCTCTGATCTGCCTTTTTGTTTTCCTCTGCCCTTAAGTTCTGCTTTTGAATTGCTTAATCAGATCAGCTCTTAATCAGATTAATTTCTTTTTCGAGGGCCCTTCCCCCACAGGTCCCTTCAGCCCCCTCACTCTGTCGGGACGAGGTACCGGGGAGCTGAGACAAGTTAATTCATTCTGCAGACGGTGCTACCGGGGGCTGCAGGCTGTGGCTCTGCTCTGACTATGTCTGAGGGAGAGGGGCTTCCAGCAGTTTTAGGAGTAAAAATGGCTTAGTTTATGATCCTAAATGAAAACATATTGCCTCAATTGAACATGGCTGAACACTTTTCTCTCTGTTCTAGTCTCGAACACCCGCTTTGGTTTTTGAACACGTAAACAACACAGACTTTAAGGTACAGTGTGGGGTGTGAACTTAGCGTGTTTCCGTTTGAAAGGCACTCGTTCTGTTTTAGGGGGCAGGCAGGTTATTTAACCATTTCCGTCCAACGTAGTAACTGTCTTTAAAGATCAGTGGGCTTGGGACAGTTTGTAATTAGTCCTCTAGTACCATTTTGCCACAGAAGTTACAAGGTGGGAGTGCAGGTTCCAAGTGGCATTCTGACCCTTGGAGCCAATGAATCCATTATCTTACAGACCATCCGTGCTCATCTCCGAAACGTTTTGCTTTTATGTTCAGTGGGTAACTGTTTATTGGAAGCACTTTAAATGTCGACAGCTGTTCCTGTGGCTTTCCATACTTCTGGGAAAAGAGATTTAAATGTTTCCTTGTCCCTTTCCC